CAAAAAAACTAGGCGGCATAACAGAATGAAAACTATGTTTCTGTCAAACAATAACATTTATTTGATTACTAGTATGTGTTAAAATATTCGAACATACGTTTCAAAATAGTTTCAACCAAAATAGAATCCAGGTCCGATCTTCTTTCGCTTTTCACTTAGTCCCGAATACAGTCTTTTTGACTCTGTCATAAAGTCCTCAGGATCAAAAATATAATCATTCTCTGAGTCGCAACATTCCTGAGTTCTTCCACGAGGTGCGAATTTATATCTTCCTGTCAAGAAGTGTTCAGGATGAGAATAATAGTCAGAAGGAAGAGCATTTAATTGGATAAGACTGAGCAACAGAAAATAATGAACGGTTGACATGATGCTCCAGATGTCATATAGATGAACAAGCCTGATTAACTATATATATGGACGCACAGACAGATCATGGTTGGTGAATTTTAAAATTAACCCACAAACAAACCCTGAAAAGATCGAAGACTCCTACTAATAAAAAAAAAGAAATTTTCAGAAAAGTTAACGAAATAAAAACACCATTTTTGTTTGTCTGAATCACCTGCAGCGTAGAGGGCGTTTCATAGAATACGTTACTAGAGTGGGTTTGTGTAATAAGGTTATAGGTAAGACTGTAGACTTTTCAAAATGTATAAACTTGATGAATTTTGATACTTCCCATCTAAAAATGCTTATATGCTCTTCAAGAAAACGTATTTTCTTTCGGTATCTCAAAACTGCCTACTTCATACTGAACGTGGATAATTATCGTAACGTGATTTAAATCCCTCCAACCCTTATGGTGACCTGACGCTATGATTTATTCCTTTTATTCGGTTCTTACAGTGTCTTACTATGGAATTCAGTTAACGAATATAATATCGCAATGGTGTCTAACAGCTGACTGACTAGGTGCACAAGACTGCCCGCTAACCTAGGTTTCCGGAATGCAGTCAGTTAATGAACTGGCTTTTAAGTCTACTCCTAAGATTGTCCAACTAGTTGTAAAAGGCACGTTAATCTGGACTGCAATCTAACTGTTAGCCAAGATGTACCTCAACCTACCACAATATTCGGGAAATCGGCCTAGGTGGGTGACCAGTTCTTAATAATTTTGAACCTTAAGGTCCAGTCTGACCCTTCTCTCAGTTTTCAGGACAAAACGACTAAGCGCTTTTAAAAGAGTTAAACAGAAAGTTCAGATCTCAATTGAAAGCACTATTGGTAACACGTATTACCCAGGGGAAGAACGGAAAAATCACCCAATACTCGTTCTTTTAATGTTTACCGATAATGCTGATATGGAGGATATCCCTTTGGTCAGTCACTTACTGAAATCTGAAAGGAATGTTAGGATACTGTCTGACATACTATATTCTAATTGTAGACCTATTAGGGACATCACATGGTTATTTTTTTCGGACGATTATTCAGTATGATGAAACTGTGTGTTTTGATGCCATTAATAGTGTAAGCAAAAGTTGTTTAAAATGCAAGCTCACTCCTTAACCCTTGCTTTCCATCTACCTGTGTCCACAATCTTGCTGTTTTGCTTTAGTTCTCCCCGTTTTTGCTGAAGCTGTGTATTGTAACAGTTTGACAGCTCAAATTGTTACTCTGTTGTCGTTGTTTTCATATTGATTCTGGTTCCCTATCTGTCTGCACTTTAAGCTTTCTAAACAGTTCATACGTAGGAGATTTGGCCCCACAATACAAAGATCCGCTATTCAGCAGATCTGCACTTTCCACATGTAGTTTGGACCAGAACAGTGGCATCTTTAATCACTACGCAAGTTTGTTTCTAAGTTTTATCCAGCAGCTTGGATTCGATTCGTGCTGCTGTACTCTTTTTAGACAGTCTTTCCTTTCGCCTAGCATAGTTAGGATGAAGCTGTCTTTAGTTCAAGACTTTAACATCTATTTAAACAGAGAATGCAACACCAGCTAAATTTTTCCTATATTTAGGTTTTGTGAAGAACTGATTTTACCGAATGTTTATTCTACGATAAATTTAACTGCGATTTTCGTAGTGTTGTCTGGTATTCGAACTAATACACACTTGGGAATTTTTCATATTTCCTGCACCTACAATCATTAGTTCTGGAACACTAAGCTTTCATTCCTTTCGGTTTCCTGTCAATGTAAAGAACTTAGCTGTAAAACATCAATAATGCTAAAAGAGAATACTAAGCTATTAGAATAACGTGAAGCCTGAGTGTATTCTTATTAGTATTGCTGATACTGAACTGTGTTATCAAAGACTACCAGTTATCTTTGTGTAAACGAAATTCAAAAAGCATCTCGTTTATCGTTCGGTTTAAGCTCATATCTCTGGTGTCTTGACATGACTTAGATTTCCAAAAATTGCCGTCGCCAAGTTTATGCTTTAAGTATTGCTAGTGTCTGTTAGTAGTAGTACGGTATATGCTATTATAAGCTGTCTTAGCGATTCTCGTGACTTGAAGCCCAATCCACGTTGTGTATAATCTTAATATTTAACCTATGTATTTGTCCCTTTAGATTTCGGTATGACTCCAGACGTTGCTGTTCCTTAACGTTTAATAACCAAACGTCCTATCATTGTAAACCGAATATTTTCTACCCAGTTAATCGCAAAAGATTTTAGAACCATATATTCTGAACAGTCATTAAAACTAATGGGAGGGTAGTCATGAAAATACATCTGATGATTCAAAGATCCTCTTATAATAACCAGAGATCATTTAGTGTATCATTGTCTCAAATATTAGCCCCCTAAATGTGAAATTTTTCAGAAATGATCTGGATCAGCGCTTGAACTAGTGATAGAGAGTCAAGTGGATGAGCTCGTCGAGTAGTTCAACCAACTTGGAAGTCTATTTCAGACTTGGTGGGTTAATGTCCGACGAAATGTCGTCACAATAGCTCGTTTAGCTTCTACAAGATTGCCACCTATGGCGCAGGGAAAATACCTATCTGCCAGACGAAAAAGAGTATACTGCTCAGCAGTTCGCTTCATTCACTTCTATGGCTGCAAATGTGCCCTTCAGAATCAAAGGATATTCATAGGTTACTAGCATTCTATCAGAAAACCAATTTTTCATTC